TACTTTTCAATAACACAACTTTGTTTTACATGCACACTTGCGTACTCTACTCTCTATCAATTAGCTTTAGTATTCTAAGAAAATTGTAGTAAAAGATCTTGAGAACTTTCAATCATTTCATACACTACTCTTTCGAGGATTGCAAATAAGGGTATATGAGCTTCAAACCTTGTTTCATTAGTTACAAATTAATAATAGAATGAAAGTAACAGATTTTTATTTCTTTTTTTTTTGTCCTTATTGAAGGGTAATTCGTCCTTACTTTGGATTTATAATTTTTTAGTTCTTATTTAAGTTTAATTTAATATTTTGGTCCTTTAATGCCACCCCCCTTAATTAGCTTGTTATTATTACTTCTTCTTTTTTTGCTGGGCAAGGTCTGTTGATCATGTTTTAAGAATGATCCGAAACATGAAACATGAAAAAGAAATATAAAGGGAGATGATCGAAACGAAGAAGTAATTGCTGGTCTTTTTTCCTTTTAACTTTAATTTCTTTCTGTCTTTTGAAAGGAAGCATATATATTGGGGAGACTGAAGAAAGTAAGCACAGTTAGCTTTAATTTTCCTTTTTTAGATGCGACAATGATACAATAAATGAAGAACATGGCTGGATTTACATTCCAAGCAAGTGACCGACAAAAAGAAGAGAAGTAGCTAGGGATTATCCCCGTACATTTGAGGTAACTTGCTTGGAACTTTTGTTAATGAAAATGGGACCCTGTTACTTCACTATGCTCGCTTTAGGAATGATGGGGGAAAAGTGGAAAAAAAAAAATAGAAAAGAAAAGATTTCAAAAATAATAAATTTTATTATCATTTTTAAGAGTTCTCCTTTCTAGTTTTCCCTCCTTCATAGTTTTCTTCCCGTTCAAAAAATTATCACTATTCTTCCATTCTAATTTATAATATACTTTTAAAAGTGATGGTCACTTGATATATCAAAATATAAGATATTTTAGCAAAATAAGATTTTATTAATTATACTTGTTTTAACATTACTCTTCATTCCTTGTTAATATTTCACAAATAAAATTATATTAAATTGATGGTAATTTTAAAATTTACATTTTTAATTTTTTTTAAAAATATTGTAAATTATGTATTTAATGAATTTTGTCAAAAATATCTAATAAATTAGAATGGTAGAAGTAATTTCTTACCAACTTCTATTCACCTATTAATCTGTTTTAATTGAATCTCTTAGCCCTTACATACACAAATCCTTAAAAACAATAGATAAACATTGAACAAATATTTTTTGTTTTAACTTGTTAAAATCATGCTGGTCTACTTCTTTCAATCTTTAAAACATAAGTAAACCTTGCAAAAAAAAAAAAATTGAAACCAATTTAGATAGACAGCTTTGTTTCTAATTTTTGAACTTGGGGTTAATTATATTCCTGGGGCCTGGGTTTTGTTCATTCATTTGAAGGAAAGCATATCTTCCCCTTGAACTGAAGAAAGGAAGCTTACCTTTAAAAAAAAAAAATCAAAGGAACCTTATTACTATGAACACTGAAATTGATTATCCTTTTTTGAAAGGAAGCATAGTTAATTATCCTTTCTTGTATGTAATAATTATACAATAGAATAAATGAAGAACATGGATTACATTGCAAGCAAAAGTGACAGACAAAACCAAAAAAAAACAAAAAGAAAAGTAGGCTAGATAGCTACGAAGCAATATGCATCCTGTATACTGAATTTGGATTGGCGCAAATTCACTCGTTTAATGAATGTTTCTTGTAATATGATAACAAATATTTAATTTAATCATATAATTATCAAATATTTTATCATATAATACAAAGAAATATCAACTTTTATTTTTTTTTTCAGGGGACCATATACTTGAGGAATATTCTGATTGTGGATGTTGTTGTAAATTTTGAAAGAAATATATATATATATATATATCGATGATTTTCAGGTGTTTACAAAGTCCAACAATCATAATTGATAAATTCATTGTGTCAGTAAGTCTAAACTTCTCACCAAGACCTAAATCGTCCTTGCACATTTGAGTTTGGCTGGGACTGGGAACTTTCGTAAATAAAAAATGGGACTTTATTACTTCACTACGCTTACCTTAATGTAACAACTACTTTGTTACCAACTTCCATTCACTTGTTAATCTTTTTGTTTTTTTGGCGAATTATTCACTTGTTAATCTGTTTTAATGAATCTCTAAGCACAAAGAATAATCAATTTCCATAGCAAAAGCCAAAAAGAGTGAATAATGCACTTTTTCAATTTTTTTATTAAATTACGTGTAATATTTCTTTTAGTCTCAAACTTCTGCTTAAATTTCTTCATAAATATTACTCCCTCCATCCCAAATTATAAAACTTTGTTGAAGGAGTTTCTCCATCTCAAAATATAAGACATTTTGGATAGATTAAGATATCATTAAATACACTAATTTTAATATTATCCTTTCTTTTTTATAATTAATTTCTATCCCTTCTCTTTTCAATGTATTAAATGATGGGTATTTGAAAAGTTTATATTTTTATTTTAAAAAAATAAAGTTGTTGAGTGTATTTAATGAGATTTATTGGTATGTGAGATTTTGCCTAAAAGTGTCTTATAATTTGAAACGGAGGGAGTATATACATAAATCTTTAAAACAAAAAGATAAATATTGAACAAACATTATTTCACTGGAATGCTCAAATATTCAAACATGAATATGAAATTCTGTTCCAGTAATATACTAGCATTGAACCACGACGGTCATATATTATCAGACTTGCATAAACTAGCACGAACGATCTTACAAAAGAAATAGGGAAATTATTAATAAAAAAATCTCAGACAGAATTTAATATCTTATAAAAACTTTTTAAGTAAATTAGATATATGCTTATTAAAATGATAACTTAATGTATTTATTAAAAATCCTTTTAAGAAATTAAATTTTTCCATGACCTTTTATTGATCGATATTCTCCCAAAAGAAATTGCAAAAGGAAAATTCTTGCAAATGGAAAGATAATGTCGGAAAAGCCTAAAGAAAGCCACGCAGCTGGAAAATAAGCTACGCTGTTTTTATGGGGTCTAGGATCTCTTTTATACTAAACTTGATCATTTTTAATGTTAATCCTTATTTCAAGCCAAAAAAAATGTTGATCTTATTGATTGGGCTCGAAAGCCTTTTAATTAATTATTTATTTTTTAAATTAAATTTTCTATTACTATATTACATACTTATGTTTCAAAGTATAAAATAAAATTTTTTAAAATTTAAAATAAGTAATTCAAATCATAATTTTAAATATAAACACATATTTTAAAATTTAAAGTTATTACAAAGGTATAAAACAAGAGAAAGGATAATAAAATTCTTTTGAACTATATAAATGATATTTTGGTCACTTGAAATGTCATAATTTCTCTGAAATTCTTAGAAACTTCTCTATCATTAAAAAATTAATATAAATAATTAAATTGTCTTTAGTTCAAATATCAATTACTCCTTTGATTCTATTTATAAGTAACTTTTAACATATTTTACTTGTATCAAAAAAACCTTAAAACTCATTAATTTTATCTTAAAATTTAATAAGTTTTTAACTTTACCTTTATATTAAATATACTACTTCAATGACATATTTTCTTTTTTCAACATTTAATGGTAGGTAAAATAAAAAATTTGTGATGAAATTTTAATGATGTGATTTATAAATAAGATTAAATTTTTTTTTCTCTGCCCTATGAATAGAACCAGAGAAAGTACTATCACAAATTTTATTTTAATACTCATAATTTTTCTTTTTAAAATTGTAAGAATTCAACAACAATTTATAAATATAAATTAAAGGTAATTTAATCACTTATATTAATTTTTTAATGATAGAAAGGTTTTTAAAAAATTTAAAAAATTATGATATTTTAAAATATTAAAATATTATTTACATAATTTAAAGAGATTTTATTATTATTTTTTTATAAAATATTATACTTTTTCAGCGTTAAAAAAAATTTGGACTTAAATAGAATGACTCGGCCCAACTTTTTAAGATTTAAAAGGATCATGTTTAAAAGTTTTTTACACTTGTTGGTAAAAAAAAAAAAAATCTTTTCACACAAAAACTAATTTCCAAAATCCAAGGCCGGAACAAAATAGGCTTTGAACATAGAGAATTGGGAAATAAATAGAACTGGAGAACGCCGCAGAATTGACTACAAGCCCTAAATGCTTCATGTCACGACCTCAGTCACGTGCTCTTCGCATGGTCCTCCATCTGGGCTCTCATTGTGGTCCAACTCGCTTGGGCTCAATACATCAACTTCCTAATTCTTCTTCTCCTTCATGATTTTTTTTTTTTTACTTCCTTCTATTTTTAAAACATAAATAAACATTTGTATGAAAAACATAAATAGAATGCTTGCCGTATGTTGTTTTTGTTTTTCGTTTTGACCTTTATGCAGTATGTTACATATGTTGGCGACCCCTCAAAGTTATAATCAATCCACTTGAATAGCTCAACTTAAGACATAAATTTAGATTTAGTTAGTTAGTGATACAAGTTCACTCACTCAATAAAATATTCTTTTAGACATTATTGTTTTTATTTCTTGAGCCGGGTGATGATCACTGAAATTTGCCATCACAAATTGGAATGTTCTTCATTTAATTTAGAGTACATTATATATGTTCCAGATCTCTAGTTTATGTAAATCACTCGTGTAACGATGACAAGGGTAGACCAAAGACAAGTGGGACATAAATAATTCTAGTGATTATTGTGAATTAATTTGCCTTTCCTACTTGGAAAGAAGAATAATTTAGTGAGACAATTTATTTGAATCTGTCCTTTATTAACCTTACACAGCATGGGAGAATGGTCAAGGAAAACACATACTTTATCCTTATTAAAGAGTATACAAATTTTAAAAATTAAATACTTCAACTTTTGACAACCTTCTCTATATTTAATGAGAACAAAAGGGTAAAGTCACAAAGATGACGCAAAAATTATAAAGGTACCCTATATATAAATAAGACTAAAACAAATATTTTTTTCTCATAATTCAAAATTCATCATCAAACTGGAAGGTACGTAATCATAGAAAAAGAAAGGCAAGAAAATAATTGATGTCCATGAATAGATGAAAGAAATTACCATAAATAATCCTACGTAGTTTTACTTCTCTTTTTGGGAACAGTCATGGTTATGCTTTCTCCCGCAAGCCTTGGCTGCGGCACAGTCGTAAAAGAGGCCACGAGAAGATCCCAATAGAGTGGAATCTGTACTAACGTGTAAAAGAACAGTGGCACGATGATCAAACTATACACCGGCATAACTCGATCCCTGATTCTGGGTTCAACTTCAAGTGAATGCGCCGAACAAAATGAGACCATTATTGAGACCACAGCGACATAAAACGACGTTAACGCAAAGCACAGTTTCAGCGGCAAGTTCCTACGGAAATCATCTGGTTGCTTCCGAGAGCTGAAAACGGCCAAGAACGCAGCCAAGGAAGTGATGGAGAAGCAAAACGAAACGAAAATGGAGACAACAAAAATGTTGAGTGCAAGTTGGCCTTCTAACGCTGGTCTTCCTGTATTGTCATTTGTGCCTCCAGGGACAGTGTACGATGTGGCGTAGGTAACTCCAGCAGTAAGTGCTGCAACAATGGAGTAAGAACTTGAAGTGTCCTTGATCCACTCGTTACTTTCTTTCAACAGTTTCTTGTGCTCTGCCACGAAGATCTCCTCCGGAGTGTCACCTTCCTTGTTTTCCATGGCATATAGATAAGCTGGTACACGTTCTTTCACATACTGTAATCCGATTAAGATACGCTATGATGTTAATGTTAGATGCTTATCACATAAAGAAATCTTGCATCTAGTAATTAGGAATAGGAGGTATATAAAAGAATATATAAAACTTAGGATGTGTCTAGTAAACTATTTTAGTAAAGTGTATATATGATACCAAGTGTTTCATTTCTTACATCAAATATACTTTAAATAGTCTATCTCATTAAAATAAATTATTTGGTTAGAAATATCCCGAACTTTATATATTCATAATCTGTCTTTTAATTTTTAGATGTGAGACTTTTTTACCTTTAACATCAAAACTTTCAAGATTCAGAAAGTAACAATGCAAGAAAGAGGACAACATGAGAAGAACATGGTAAACAGAATATTAGAGAAAGAAGTCCCATGTTTAGTAATTAAAAAGCATATTAAAAACATGTTATTAAAATTTGAGATATGTCTAATAAGCAAGTGTTTTTGTACCCGGTACCATTTGGCTTCGTATTGCATTTGCATTGCAGAGCCATGAACTTCCCAAGGCATGTGTTTTGGTAGAAATGCTGCCATGTGCAGAACATTATTTCCATCGGCATCAACATCTTCTATGAGGCTATCCCACAGTGGGTGTATCATTAATAACTTCAACACGTGGGTTTGCCTTTTCTGTACTGCCGTGTGCACCACGTTTCTCTTCTTTGGTTCTGTTTTGTCATATATCGCCACCGGCAGTTCTTCCAGGATTTTCTCCACCAGCTCCAGCAGACCGTACTTTGTTGCCACTAGTAATGCTGTCGATTTATGGTCTTTTTTCGAGGATGATGATTTTCCTGCCAATTAAGTGTCTTATTTTACTTTCAAAGTTCAACTCTTAACAAACGGTTCTAATTATCCTCTGTTGACATACATGTTAATTTATTTACCTTGCTCGTTAAGACCTGATATATTGTAAATTTGGTAAAGGACTATTCGAAAATAATTTGGAAGTGAAATTGGGAGATCAAATTATACCTCAAGTGAAAAAGTTTAGATATTTGGGAGCCATTATTCAAAATGATGGCGAAATCAGTGGAGATATTTTACTTAGAATTCAAGCTGGGTGGTTTAATTGAAAAAAAGTTAAAGAAGTTATTTGTGACCGTAAGGTGCCTAATAAACTTAAAGGAAAGTTTTATCGTACTACTATCAGACCGGCAATGTTATATAGTAGTGAGTGCTGGGCTCTAACGGGACAGTAAGAGCATAAAGTTGGAGTAGCAGAGATGAGAATGTTACGATGGATGTGTGGACATACACGTAAAGATAAAATTCGAAATGAGCACATACGCGAAAAAGTGAGGGTGGCACCTATTGAGAAAAAAATGGTAGAAAATCAGTTGAGATGGTTTGGGCATGTACAAAGAAGACCAAGGGAGGCACCAGTGAGAAGAGTGGAACATATAACTTTGAGTTCGATTAAGAGAAGTAGAGGAAGGCCTAAGAGAACACTCTTGGAAGTTGTTGAACGTGATCTCTTAATTAATAATATTTCTAAAAGCTTGATAAATGATAGAGCACAATGGCGTCTTGCAATCCATGTAGCCGACCCCACCTAGTGGGATAAAGGCTTGTTGTTGTTGTTGCTCGTTAAGACCTGATGGCCAGCGTGCAATCTGACTTTCATTTCCGTTGTACTTATACTCAGAATTTAGATGTAAAAGTTTTTCCATGATTAGCCTGCCCCATAGATGTTTCTCTTTTATCTTTTTTATTGACCCTTGTGTCAAACATGCAAGCCAAAGAAAATCGTCAACAACACAGCAAGCCAAAGTACGCAGATAGTATTAACAAGAGTTAAGTATACTAGAAGATGTTAATCTCTTTCGCAACATGACGAACTAAGGATCAAATCTTCGTAGTAACTAAAATACATGACTAGAATTGAATAACAAGTTAAAGCATTAAGATTGAGGAAGGCATGTGAACCTATCTTCGTAGTGATCCCATGGACATGGAGGCACTGTTCTGCTTTGGCATCATCGATCTTCAAAGAGTCAGAATTTCCTACCTCCACATCCTGATTCTGAGTTTCATCATCGTTTTTCAGCTGCTCTACACCCAAGTCTTCACTTAACAAACAAGATACTGAAATAAAGTCATAGCTATAGCGATCACTTAACCTAATTATCAAATACTCTGCACTTAATTAAGGCAAATGTTATATAATGTTCTTACACCAGTAAAAGAGTTCTTGGAACCATGTTAAGCGTGTACCGCTTTTGAAAGCTGATGGAACAGAGGCAAGCACTTGAAGAGGCGTGATTCCTTCCTTGTTCTCAAAGCTAACAATGTTCTTTTCACCATCACCACCGTAGAGACTAATTATTTTATATGCCAATTCTAGCAAGACCAAGTTTGCACACACAGTACTATGTTAGAAATCAATTACTCGAAAAAGCTTCAGACTAATTATATACTAAATGAATAAACATGAACTAATTAACTTCCATGACATACCAAAGTATTCTCTCTGAATGGTACAGTGAAGTATAGTATCTCCATTTTTCCTGCTGATTGTGGCGATCTTCTGACGGCAAACAGAATGAAGATACATAAAAGTATTAGTGTGACCGTTAAGAGCAGCTAGAAAGAGAGGTGTCTCTCCCTCATTGTTAAGCTCAAGAACAAGCTTTTCATCGACTTGTATTATTCGTTGACAGATAGAGGTTGAGCCACGAGAGGCAGCACAGTGCAAAGGAGTATCGTGTTGCTTGTTCTTGGCCGCGATAATCTCCATGGAAACTTCTGGGTTGTTCTTCACAATATGATCAATGAGGCCTATAACAGTGGCCTCTGGTGCGTCAAGAGTGATAGCCAAGTGCAGTGCATTGTCTTCGGATTTGGTGATCTTGGTGGGCTGAATTTGTGGATGATCCCTGAATATCTCCGCCACTTCCTTCCACTTTCGTCCAAACACGGCTCTGTCTAGTTCATGCTTTGCTGCAATATCAGAACCCATTAATTTCCTTCTTGAACTGCTACTGATGTGGAACCTCAACTGATTGTTGGCAATTAGGCAGCTATCATGAGCAGAGAAGTTTGATTGCCAGCTAGTTTGTAACACAAATTCATAACCCCAATTATCCTTGTCTATTCATACTACTCATATATCATGCTAGCAGAGTAGTCATCACTTTCTTGTAATACAAGCCATATATAGAATGTTACTTTGAAAAAAGAAGAAAGCAAATTAAATTCAACCATTGTTTGTCGTACCATTTTGCTGAATACAAAGGGCATCAATAAATAGTCAATATAATGGCCTTGAAGAACTGGGCGAGAATAGAAATTAACATCATGTAATTCAATGATCCATTTAGAAAGATTAAGTTAACAGAAAGAAAAGCAAAATTCAATGACACGTTTCTTTTCTTTATTGTGTTTCACGACTCTCTCTATGGTAATTTGTTACAAGAATATCTTTGGGACATGGTGTATGGAGAGCTAATATATATATATATATATATATAGTATATGTATTGCCAGTATAACCCTTTACTTACAAATTATAATTAATGAGTAATACACAGTGCTATTGAATAATATAAATACACATATAAAATAGGTATTGGATAAATTATTTAATTCATGCCCCCTAGTAGGCCTAGCTTCTATCAAATAATTAAATTTAAATGTTAGGGAAAGTTCCAAAGTTAATAGCTGAAGTTTATTTAAAATTTATCAAATAAAATTTTGTCCAGGTTCCCTTTAGAAACACTGAACTTAAGCTTTTATCTGATTTTTGTAAGGCAGGTAAATTTGGGATTCATGAGTTTAATTAAGAGGGAGGACCACAAACAATTAAAAAACAGAGAAAATAGATAAGTTAGGTGCTTAAAATCTATAAAATTTATGTTTAGAAAGCGCAGAAAGAAGATTTTAATTTGTAGGATATAATTTTCACAAATTTTAAGAAATGTCAGTGCATTTGGTTTTTGGTTTTTGTATGAAAGATTTATGTAGGTCATGCAGTTAAATTATGTGTATGTATTTATGAGAAATATTTAGGTAGGCTGAACATCACGTCATTTATAATCTATGTAGTTAAAATATTTCAAATAATCTAAATAAAAGATTGTGTGATATTTTTTTAATTAATTTTATTTTTATAACAGAAAACACATTTGATTTCTCACTTTTTTCTTTTTATTTTCATTAATATTAAAATAAATTTATATTTAATGCCATTTATGTAATATGTTTTTATTGGACAGATTATAAATAATATGGTATATCCAATTTATCTAAGTATTTCTCATTTATTTATAATTTATTTTTTATTTTTATGATAATTAACTATATATATGTTTTGAAAATGAAAGATTCCATTTACTAAAATCACGAAGTCTTGAGGTCCATATATCATTTTGCATACTCTCATTTTTTTATTGTTCTTTTCTTGATGTAAGAGAAAGGTAAAAAGACTCGATGTGCCTTTTGTTTGTGCCACACTTTAATAATAAATAAAGTTACGTAACATATTTAGGTGGAATCTAAGCATTAAAATTTGTTCATATATATATATATATATATATATATTTCTTCCTTTTTCTTTTTCTTTTTCTTTTTATCTGATGCTTTTAGCTTTCTTATAACGTAATATTCCATATTCTTGATTTATGGTATCATTTTTTTGCGTTCAAAACGGAAACGAATTAGAGCCTATTTAGCGACCTATTTAAAAATAGTTTTTTGTTCTGAAAAACAAGAAAATGAAAAAACTTGTTTAAAAGTGTGTTTTCTATTTTCTGTTTTGAAAAATAAACAAGTTAAAAATTGTAACATCTCTTAAATATTATGTTACTTTTTGTTCTGAAAAAATAGAGAAAATGTTTATCATACTTTTATTAATGACAATTATGTTAATAAAATAAATTATTCTTTCACTATTTATTTCATCAATTTATACATGTTTTTCAAAATGATAATTCAATTTTTTTTTCATTTTTTTGGTTTCCAAAACTTGTTATGAAAAACAAATCTACAGAATTGTTTTAAAAACATAAAAATAAAAAATAGAAACAAACAAACCTTAAATACTCTCGATGAAAAAAGAAGAGAAAATTGAAAGAAAGACAATCTTCTTCATTTAATAATTTTTGTGTTTTACCATTCCCTTCCCTTTCAGATTATTTCGGTTTTCTTCTCTTTAATTTATCACTTAAATCGAAGGAAACATGTGGGTGTATATATTTCTACACACTATGTTGATCTCTTTTGAAATCGAGTTGAGTTGGAAAAAAAAAATAATAGGATGAAAAAAAATTAAACAATCCAAATTCAAATTCAACACGAAAATCTAATTTAATTTGTTAGCACATAAAAATTTGAATGAACAGAAGAATATGAACGTACTTCATTGACGATTATCATTGAAAATCCTTCAACTTAAGTTTGAAAGACACACAACAAATCTAAAAAAATATTTCGAGATATGAAACATGAGGCAAAGACTTATGCTAACATCTCTCTTTAAGGAGGATACAGCAGCCTCCTTATCCATCTCTAATGCAATATGATCAATGTCATTTATATAGATTTTAGGGTTACCAACAACTAATTAATTAAGTAATTAATACTAATTACCTTAACTAATCCAACAACATAAGCAGTCACAGATAATGTCAAAAAATAATTTGATAATAGGTTGGTTTTGGTTAAAATTAATTTAAAGGGTGCTTGTTACATTGTTTGTGATTGATGTTTGAAGTGGGCCAGGGGTACGTGTTTTGTGAATATGGATCATGTTTAGAAGTTTCTTTGAATAACATGTTAAGGGTTTCCGTGATCTCTTTGATGAAATGAAGAATAGTGTTTTTTTTTTAAATTGCTCACAGTATGCTTCTATTGAAAATATATAATTCTACTCAAAGTATGGTTGAATATTATATATAAGTAACTCTTTCAATAAGAATTTAAATATTAATTCACCGGATTGACCCATTTCTCTAAACCTATCCCCCCGTTAATGAAGACACTGATTCTAGACAAATTAAATTCTTAGGGTAGAAGATATAGAACATTATCTGGGGGGATCTTTTTAAATAAACATGATTATCTATAAAATTCTACCTTTTTCTATCATATCAAAAAATTATTCTTGATAAATATAAAAAAATAAAATAGCAAAAAAAAATTGTGTAGTTGGGATTTAGAGGATTTAATAAGGAGGACCACAAAGCAGTTAAAACAAGAGGTAAGATGGACCAATATCATGAAACAAGAGAGCGAAGGAGATATGCATCCGTCCTTGCAGCAAAAACGAGATACAATGAAATAATGCTTCATTTTCAAAAAGTAGATTTTGCAACAAATTTTAAAACAACTTTCAGGCTTCTGCATACATACAAGAAGTCAAGATAGAGAAGCAAGATGATAAAAAATAGCACAAAAAACAAATATTGCAGGATCGGGAGAAACATGCATGCTTGGCTCGATCTAAATAGTAACATTGTCTTCCACGTACCTTGACTGAGCCTCGTTGGAAAAAGTGGCTTTGAAAGATTCCAGTACAGTGGAATCTGTTCATAAGCGTACAAGCAGAAGTATCAACATCAAGCTCAAAGAAATGCGCAGCGCAGAGAAGGAGATCAACAAGGAGACAGCGGACAGATAGAACGTACGTAGTTAAGCCAAAACAAACCTTCAGAGGCAAGCTTCGAAGATAATCATCAACGCGTTGCTTTCGAGAACTAAAGAGTCCTTATGTCGTGTTCTGCGAAGAAGATCTCATCTGGTGTGTCACGATCATTGTTTATGTTAGAACTGATGAGGTAAAGCTGGCACGTACTTGAAACAAGATTATGTTTATAATATAATTAACGTTAATCACAAGAAGAATGCATCCATGTGTGTTTTCAATATTTTTACCTTCTCGCATAAGCAGTGGAGCCGCGTGTATTTGGGTGGCATATGCCCCGACAAATGAAAAAAATTACTTACATAGAAATGAGATATTGGTCTTTATATTTTACACTTTTTTTGTATAGTTTGCATTTTAAATCATTTTATATTATTTTTTACCTTAGATTTAAAATTAATTTTTTTAAATTCAAAAGCCTAATAAATTTTAACCTACAATTTCGATATACCCAAATAGTAATATTATTTTATAAAAAATTAATATTTATTAAACCTTTAAGAAAATAAGAAAAAAAAATCTTGCCTGCATTGTTTGAAATCTCAAAACAAATTTGTAAAAAAATTAGTTGAAACTAGAAGACAAATTATTTATCCATTAATTTATCTTCTCTTAAAATTAGCAATGGTGTTACCTATTGCCTTAGTAATAGTTGAAAGAATCGTTTCTGTTATCAAGCTTGTAAAAATTCGGTTGCATAATTAAATAGAGAATCCATGGATAAATGATTATCTCGTGACTTATATTAAAAAAGATACATTTAAAAGTATTGACAATGAGTTGATTGTTTAACGATTTCAAAATATGAAACCACGTACAGAAAATTTATATGGTATATAATTATTAAACAATTTTTGTTATTTTTTTAAAATTATGAATATGTAAAAGATTTTGCCTCTCCTGACCCAGGATTCTGGCTCCACCATTGTGCATAAGGTGTAGGACACACATTTTCAATATACTCCTCCTTCCAATTATTTACAAGGCATTGCCTATTCGTTTCTTAATCCAAAATCTCTTAAAAGTCTTAATGAAACATTAATTATAACAATAATAACAAGCCTCATTTCATTAGATAGGTTGGCTACATGAATAACATGACATTGTCGTGTTTTATCAACAACTGAATCTTTAAATATAAATGAGACCATAACAAAGTTAATTCCATGACCTTAGTTAATTAGAAAAATTGTTGATTAATTAAGGGTAATTTTAAAAGGCTGTCATATTTTTTTTTACATTCAAACTAATTTACTATTTTTCTTAATCTTAGAAAAGTAGTTAATTGTATAAAAAGAAAAAAGAAAAGTAGTTAATAAGACCTTATTTAAAAGATCAGAGGGAGTAATTAGTTATTTTTTTTATATGACATACATGCAGTGATATTGTTCATAACTTCATACATTATTAAACCAGAGGGCTTCATATTGCATTTCATGACAAAG